CAAGACCGACCTCTACAAATAAATCCTCGCATTATCCAAGGTTCTATAATGTCTCATCTCTTCACAATTGTTAATGTAAGAGGCGATTGCTCGTGTGAGAGATCCAATCTCGCGACTTGTTCGACACACTTTATCAACAAAACATCATCACATGCATACGAGACAAAAGCATAAATTCAAGAGTCAAGTATTGATGAGCATATTATAATACTAAAGTCATTTTACAATACAATATGATCAAATCCTTCGCAAACCTAGAGCCATAACATGTTTCTCAAACAAGTCTCTACATGTCGCCTTTGTAAAAGGATCAGCTATCATATTTCGCGTAGTAATGTACTGTAAATTTATCTCTCCACTTGCTACCATGTCTCTAACAAAGTTATACTTGATTTAAATGTGTTTGGTCTTGCTGTGATACTTAGGATCTTTTGTGTATGCGATAGCCGCTTGACTATCACAATATAGAGTCATGGGACCCTGAGAGTTCTTTGTATTATCCAAATGTTCAAAGAATCTCTTCAACCAAACAACTTCTTGTACTGCAGACGCACGAGCCGCGAACTCAAATTCCATCGTCAAAAGGGCAGTACAAGTTTGTTTCTTACTTTTCCATGAAATAGCACCACCATTAAGTAAGAAAGCATAACCGGATGTTGATTTTCTATCATTCCGTTCACCAGCCCAATCAGCATCTCTATATCCTTTCAAGTATATATCATTTCCACTATAATATAGTGAATAATCTGCAGTTCCCTTCAGGTATTTTAAAATTCTCTTTACAGCTTTCTAGTGATCTCTTCCAAGATTGGATTGATACCTGCTAACCAAACCTACGGCACAACAAATGTCTGGGCGAGTACACATCAGTGTACATCAAGCTCCCGACAGCACTTGAATATGGAACTCGAGACATGTGTTCCTTTTCATTTTCAGTCTTGGGACACATTTCAAGGCTTAAAGTTTCACCTCTCACTATAGGAGTATCCATGGATTTGCAACTATTCATGCGAAAATGCTCCAAAATTTTCTTTATATAAGTTTCTTGAGATAGACTCAACAACTTTTGGAACAATCTCTTTGGATCTTAACTCCAAGGATATAGTCTGCCTCGCCCATATCTTTTATATCAAATGACTTTGAAAGCCATGACTTGATAGTTTTCAAATACTCCAAATTATTTCTGGCCAATAAAATATCGTCCACATAAAGAGAAAGAATTACTAACATCCCAGTGGACTTCTTCACATAAATGCAATGGTCTTCATTGATCATGGTGAAATCATACGAGATCACCTCCTTGTAAAATCTCAAATACCATTGCCTTGAAGATTGCTTCAGGCCATAAATAGATCTTTTTAATTTACAGACATTCTTTTCTTGGTCTTTAACTGTGATGACCCAAAAGGTCATCACTTGTGTTGCAAGTGAATTCAGTGTTCCGAGGCCTAAAAACCTCCTTTTTACCCCACCTTGATTTACGTGCGTGGTTCGGACCTATATCCGGAAAGCCTTCAATGTGAAAATATGAGAAACAGAAATTTTTAAAGTTCAAAATTTGATTATGCTTGACTTTGGTCAGCATTTTGAGCAAATGGACCCGGATCCGTGTTCCGACGATCCCTGGAGGTCCGTAGTAAAATATGGGACTTGGGCGTATGCCCGGAGATGAATTCCGAGGTCCCAAGCCTTAGAAATCAATTTTTGAAAGAAATTATTTTACTGAATTATCTAAGAAACGAAGAAAAGAATTAATGTTTGAAACCATTGTTATCGGGCCCGTATTTTGGTTTTGGAGCCCGGTACAAACTTGTTGTAGTATTTGAAAGATAACTGTGAAATTTGGTGAAAAACGGATTTTATTTGACGTGAGTTGGACTTCCGATTGAAGTGTTATGAACTTTGAGAGTTCTTGATGAAAATGTTGAGTTTTAAGGTTTAATTTATGATTTTACATGTTATTTTGATGATGTGATCGCACGAGTAGGTCCATATGATGTTTTTCAGTTAGTATGCACACTTGGTTTGGAGTTCCGAAGGCTCGGGTGAGTTTCGAGTAGGTTCCGGGATGTCTTAGGCTTAAAAACATAGTTGTTGCAGGTCCAGAGAAGTGGAAGGCCTCTAAACAAACCAGTGCGGTCTGCACAAAATGGAGTGCTGCCGCGGAGGGGCCTGTGCGGCCGCACTAGTTTTTGTGCGGTCCGCGGTGAAGAAACATTTCACTGGTCCGAATTCGGAAGCCTATATCTTTTTATTTACAAGAAATTTTGAGATGATTCAAAAAAGAAAGTTGTAGCCCTTCGTGTCTAGTTTCCACAAAGGTAAAGAAATCATAATTTGGACATCTGTAGAGAAAGTTATTCCCAAAATACTAAAATATGTCACTGCAGTACACAGGAAGGGTTGTGCGGCCGCAGTTGATTTTGTGCGGTCCGCACAGGGCATCTGAGAGTAGTATATTTAGACGAGATTTTCAGTTATTTTTCATTTTTCAAAACCCCAAAAACATAAGAGGCGATTTTTCAAACAACCTTTCTTCTCCAAAACGTTGGTAAGTGATTTCTAACTCATTTTCTTCACTCCTTAACATCTTTTAACATGATTTCAACTCAAAATCAATGATTTTCATGGGGGAAATTGGGTGTTTTGGGTAGAACCTAGGTTTTTTGAAAAATTGAGGATTTGGACCTCGATTTGAGGTCCGATTTCAAAACAAATTATATATTTGAGTTCGTGGGGGAATGGGTAATCGGGTTTTGGTTCGAACCTCGGGTTTTGACCATGTGGGCCCGGGGACAATTTTTGACTTTTGGGTAGAACTTTAGGAAACTCATCTTCATGCATTAGAATTGTTTCATTTAGCGTTTATTGATGTAATTAAGTAACTTGTGACTAGATACGAGCGAATTGGTGGTGGAATCAAGGGGTAAAGCTATAGTTGAATCATGAATTGTGTTCGCGACATCGAGGTAAGTGTTTGGTCTAACCTTAGCTTGAGGGATTAGAAGTTGAGTCCTATTTGTTAAGTGTTAATTGTTGAGTACAACGTATAGGCATGGTGACGAGTATCTATACGTTGGTGTCTAGCATGCCCGTGAGTCTTTATATTGTGATTTCATGACTTCGTTTTATCTTTCATGCCTTGGTGATGGTTTCTATATGTTGTGTAAAGTTTGTGGAAGGAAATTGTGACTTATGAACATTGAGGAGCGTTGGCTCAAGTTATGTAACAAATTGTAAAAGAGTAAGTGATAATTGAATCTCTAGAGCATTGGCTCGAGTTATGAAGTGAATTGTGAAGTAAAAGTGAGAAAGAAAAGAAGTTATCATGTTGACACCTTTGCCGGGATATTATTGAATTATTTGTTATCTCCCTTGACGGGATGTTGATATTATTGATGTTGTTCCCTTGCCGGGATTTATTTGTTGAGATGTTGTTCCCTTGCCGGGATCTTTATTGCAATTTCATTTATTCCCTTGCCCTATTGTTTGTCATTGTTGTTTGGGTGAGGAAGAGCATTAAAGCACGAAGGGTGATGCCGTGCATTGTTTGTTTTGTGAGGAAAGAGTGTAAAGCACGAAGGGTGATGCCGTGCCGCACGATGTACCATTCCGTGCCTATTATATTGATTTCATGGTAAGGAAATAGTGTAAAGCACGAAGGGTGATGTCGTGCCGCACGATGTACCATTCTGTGCCTATTGTATTGATTCTTATGGTGAGGACGAGAGTAAAAGCACGAACGGTGATGCCGTGCACTTGTCCTTGATTTCCCTGATTCTTGCTGATAATTGAGTTATGTTGTCTCTTACGTTTATTTCCTGATTTTCTGTTGTTACTTGAACTTATTTAGAGGTTATAGATTCCCTTACCCTATTTGCCTTGTGATTGTTGTTTGGGTGAGGAAAAGCGTAAAGCACAAAGGGTGATGGCGTGTATTGTTTTGGTGAGAGAGTGTTAAAGCACGAAGGGTGATGTCGTGTATTGTTTTGGTGAGAGAGAGTAAAAGCACGAAGGGTGATGTCGTGCACTTGTCTTTGATTTTCTAATTTTATTTGATAACTGAGTTACGGTTTCTCTACATTTAAATTGTTGGTTTCCTGTTAATACTTGTTGTACCCCGCAACATGATTTCCCCTTCCCATTTTCAATTGAACTGTGGTGATCCTCATATTTATTTGTTGCTCTTCTGTTACTATTCGATGTTTCCCCGCAGCATGTTTCCCCCTCCCATACTTGACCGTATATTACTGTTCTTCTTTTCCGCTGTATATAGTTAAATTGCACAGGCTTATTTGGTAGTCTGGTCCTAGCCTCGTCACTATTTCGCCGAGGTTAGTCTAGGCACTTACCAGCACATGGGGTCGCTTGTGCTGATACTACAGTCTGCACTCTTTTGTGCAGACCCCAGTGTTGTAGACTTCGGACCGCAGTGGGATTGCTGATTCTCGTTCATCAGGCAACCCGAGGTAAACCTGCAGGCATCCGCAGGCCTTGGCGTCTCCTTCTATCTACTATTCCTGTTTCTTTCATGATTTGCCAGAGACAATGTTGTATTTATTTCTTTCAGACCTTTATTTGTAGTATTCTTAGACTGTCTATGAAACTGTGACACCAGTTCTGGGTAGTCGAGACTCAAACAGTTGTATTAGATATTCATGTTCAGATAGCCTATTGCTTTTTTTTCTTCCGCTTATGTTAAATTCCGCTGTTTAAATGATATTTCTTCGAAATTGTTAAAGAATATAAAATTGGTAAAAAGGTAAATTGTTCAAATAATTGGCTTGCCTAGCTCACATTAGTAGGCGCCATCACGACTCCCGAGGTTGGGAAATCCGGGTCGTGAGATTAACGATGAAGCCTATAGGTTGTTCCATATAGATTTCTTCGTTTAGTTCTCCATTGAGAAAAGCTGTCTTCACGTCCATTTGATGTAATTCCAAATCCAAACGTGCAACAACAGCCAAAAGTAAGCAAATTGAGGTAAACTTCACAACTGGTCAAAATATTTCCTCATAATCTATTCCGGCTTCTTGAGTAAAGCCTTTTGCCACCAATCGTGCCTTGTATCTTTCTATTGACCCATCCGCTTTGCGTTTAACTTTGAGAACCCATTTGTTCCCAATGGCTCCACACCCAGGTGGAAGGCTAATTAGATCCCAGACTTTGTTGGTTTTCATGGACTCTAATTCTTCTTTCACTGCTTTCATCCACTCATCTTTTCCAGGGTTCGATAAAGCCTCAGTTACAGACTTTGGCTCATCCATTTCTGTGGGAGATACCAAGAAAATAATCTTCAATTTCATAAGTACGTTTGGGTATATTTTTCCTGGCTCTTTTTTGTAGTTGAAATTCAGGTTCGTCAGAAGGATTTTGGGATTGAGAGTTCCCACTCCCACTCGGATCAAGGATAAGATTTTGATCAATTTGATTATCAACTATGTCAGAAGACACTTGCTCACTATCTGTGTTCAACATTTCATAAAGAGGCTCTCCATTCTTTTCCTCGCCCTTCTTTGGAAAATCATTGTCACGACCCGAAATTCCCACCTTCGGGACCGTGATGGCGCCTAACATTTCACTTGCTAGGCAAGCCAACATTAGAGAATTCACAAAATCAACTTCAGCCAATTTTAATAACAGAATTTATTAAGCTAAGCAGAAGCTAAACAGAGTTTGCAGAATATTATAAAACCCAAAATATCTGAAACATTTAGGATCTGGAGTCACAACTCACGAGCTACTACGATTTGCTACAAACAGAGTCTAAAAGATAATACACTGTTATGAAGGAAAAGGAACAGTAAAATAACAAGACTAGAAAGAGACTCCAGGATCTGCGGACGCCAGCAGATCTACCTTGATCTCCTAACGATCAAGTCCAGCTGCTAAACTCGGGGTCAACTCAGGCCAGTACCAAAATCTGCACAGAAGTGCAATGTAGTATCAGTAGAAGACCCCATGTACTAGTAAGTGACGAGCCTAACCTCGGTGAAGTAGTGACGAGGCTAGGACACACATACCTAATAACTCTGTGCAACTTAACAATATATGTACAAAATAATGGCAAGTAAGAGATAGACAGATAATATCGGGAGGGGGACATGCTGAGGGGCTTAAAAGATAAAGAATCACAGCAGTAAAGAAACTTGATCAGCTAATATACCTTGAACCAATAATAACAAGTAAACACATTAAAGAAAAATGCACGGCATCACCCTTCGTGCTTTTACTCTCAACCTCACTAGATAATCAATAGAAATAGCACGACATCACCCTTCGTGCATTAACACTCATAAAACATGGCACGGCATCACCCTTCGTGCATTAACACTCTCCCTCACCAAAACAAAGAACAATAACAACAGGGAGATAGAAATATCAAGAACAAGTCTTACTTCAACAATTGGTTCAACAATACCAACCTCAACTTTGAATCAATACTCAATCAATACCAAAATCCGTAAATATGATAAGAACGATCAACATAACGATAAACTAATCTAAGCATGGGTAATATGATCACGGAAAGCTACAATTTCATGAATAAGGCTCACTCGCATGCTATGACTCGACAATAATGGATAGGTACTCGTCACCTCACCTATACGGTGTACTCAACATTCAAACACGTAGCAAATAAGCAAATAATAGCTAATCCCTCAAGCCAAGGTTAACCACGACACTTACCTCGCTCCAATGGCCAAACTCAAAGCTCAACCACAACTTTTCCCTTCACACAAGCCTCCAGACCAATAGAATCTAGCAAATTACCAACCAAAAGATTCAATTTAAGCCTTAGGAACTACCCACGATTGCAAAGAATTCAATTTAGGCTATTTTATTGAAAAAATCAACAAAAATCAACACTCGGGCCTGCTTGGTCCAAACCCGAAATTCTGACCAAAACTAGATTACCCATTCACCCCCAAGCTCGGATATATAATTGGTTTTGAAATCCGAAATTTTGAAATCCCTAACTACCCAAAAATCCCCAATTCCACCATGAAATCCTTAGATTTTAGGTTGAAATCTTGTAAAATGAAGTGAAAGATGGAAATAAACTAGTTTAGAATCACTTACCAATGTTTTGGAGAAGAAGTGGTCTTTGGAAAATCGCCTAGAGGGTTTCTTATTTTGAAAAAAATCCCGTTTAAGTCAAGTTTTACCAACTGCAGATGTCACAAATGCGACCTGGGCTTCGCAAATGCAAAGCCCGCAAATGGGAGAAATCCATCGCATTTGCGAAGATTCTCACATTTCTGCTATCTTCGCAAATGCGAAGAAAAGTTCGCAAATGCGAACTAAGCTGACCGCAAATGCGACTCAACGATCGCAAATGCGAAGACTTCCCTCCCAGACCCATATCGCAAATGCGACGAATACTTCGCAAATGCGAACTTGTATTGCCCAGCTTCTCTTCATATTTGTGATGAGAAGCTCACAAATGCGAACCTTATGAGGTCGCAATTGCGATGCCTGATCTTGCAAATGCGAGATCAGAGGCCTGCAACAAGATCAGTTACACCAGCAACTTTTTCCAAGTTCAAATCACTCTGTAGCCTACCCGAAGCTCACCCGAGCCCTCGGGGTTCCAAGGCAAACATGCATACAAGTCTAAAACATCATACGAACTTGATCGCGCGATCAAATTGCCAAATAACACCTAGAACTACGAATATAGCACCAAATCAAATGAAATTTTCAAGAAAACTTTGAAACTTCAAATTTATCAACCAGACGTCCGAATCACGTCAAACCAACTCCGTTTCTCACCAAATTTCATAGACAAGTCATAAATATGGTAGTGGATCTATACCGGATTACGAAACTAAAATACGGACCCGATATCCAAAAAGTCAAACCTTGGTCAAACACTTTCATTTCATTAAGCCTTTAACTTTCAAATTTTGACAAAGTCTGATATCTCGGGCTAGGGTTTCCGATTTCGATTCCGAGCATATGCCCAAGTCCCAAATCACGATACGGACCAATCGGGACCATCAAATCGCGAATCCGGGTCCGTTTACCAAAAATATTGACCGAAGTCAACTCAAATGAAGTTTTAAGGCAAAATTTCTTATGTTCATCAACTTTTAACATAAAAGCTTTCCAGAAACACGCCCGGACTGCGCACGCAAATTGAGGAGGGTAAAAATGAGATTTTTAAGGTTTAAAAGCGCATAATTGAGTTCTAAAACACAAGATGACCTTTCGGGTCATCATATTCTCCACCTCTAAAACAACTGTTCGTCCTCAAACGGGCATAGAAAAGTACCGGAGCTGGTGAAAAGGTGGGGATATCTACTCTGCATATTAGACTTGGAATCCCAGGTAGCTACCTCAACAGGCTGACCTCTCCACTGCACTCGAACTAAAGGATAACTCTTCGATCTCAACTGACGAACCTGCCGGTCTAGAATAGCTACTGGCTCCTCCTCGTAGGTCAAATCCTTGTCCAGCTAGACAATGCTCAAGTCTAGCACGTGGGATGGATCGCTGTGATACTTCCAAAGCACAGACACATGGAACACTAGATGTACCACTGATAAACCAGGTGGCAACGCAAGCCTATAGGCCATCTCCCCCACTCGCTCAAGAATCTCAAAAGGTCCGAAATGCCTAGGGCTCAACTTGCCCTTCTTTCCAAACCTCATTACACCCTTCATGGGTGACACACGGAGCAACACTTTCTCTTCGACCATGAATGCAACATCATGGACCTTATGGTCGGCATAACTCTTTTGCCTGGACTGAGCTGTGCGAAGTCTATCTTGAATGATCTTAACCTTATCCAAGGCATCTTGTACCAAATCTGTACCCAATAACCGAGCCTCCCCCGGCTCAAACCATCCAACGGGCGATCGACACCATCTACCATATAATACCTCATAGGGAGTCATTTGGATGGAGTCATTTGGATGCTCGATCGATAGCTGTTGTTGTAGGCAAACTCCGCTAGCGGCAAGAATAGATCCCACGAACCTCCAAAGTCAATAACACATGCGCGGAGCATATCCTCCAATGTCTGAATAGTGCACTCGGACTGCCCGTCCGTCTGAGGATGAAATCTTATGCTCAGCTCAACCCGCATGCCCAACTTACGTTGCAGTGCCCTCCAGAAATGCAACGTAAACTGCGTACCTCGATCATAAATGATAGATACGGGCACACCATGAAGACGAACGATCTCGCGGATATAAATCTCTGCCAACGCTCTGAAGAATAGGTAACTTCTACAAGAATGAAATGCGCTGACTTGGTCAGTCTATCCACAATAACCCAAACTGCATCGAACTTCCTCTGAGTTCGTGGGAGTCCTACAACAAATCCATAGTGATAAGCTCCCACTTCCACTCAGGAATATCTATCTTCTGAAGCAAACCACCAGGTCTCTGATGCTCGTACTTTACTTGCTGACAATTTAGAAACCGAGACACATATGCCAATATGTCTTTCTTCATTCTCCTCCACCAATAATGCTGCCGCAAGTCCTGATACATCTTGGCGGCGCCCGTATAAATATACTGGGAACTGTGGGCTTCTCTTGAATCAACTCATGAAGTCCATCCATATTATACACACAAACACGACCCTGCATCCTCCAAAATCCATCATCTCCGACTGTAACCTACTTGGCATTACCGTGCAGCACTGTATCCCTAAGGACAAGAAAATGAGGGTCATCATACTACTAATCCCTGATGCGCTCAAACAATGAAGACGGAGCGGCCGTACAAGCTAGAACACGACTAGGCTCATAAACATCCAACCTCACGAACTGATTGGCCAAGGCCTGAACATCTAATGCAACCAGTCTCTCACTGACTGGAAGTTACACTAGGCTACCCATACTCACGTACTTTCTACTCAAAGCATCGGTCACCATGTTGGCCTTCCCGGGATGATACAAGATGGTGATATCATAGTCTTTCAATAGCTCTAACCACTTCCTCTACCTTAAATTGAGCTCCTTTTGCTTGAACAAATACTGCAAACTCTGATGATCTGTGAACACCTCACACGACACGCCATAAAGATAATGCCTCCAAATCTTCAGTGCGTGAACAATGGCTTCCAGCTCTAAGTCATGGACAGGGGTAATTCTTCTCGTGAACCTTCAGCTGCCGCGACGCATATGCAATCACCCTACTATCCTGCATCAATACCGCACCAAGCCCAATACGATATGCATCACAATATACTGTATAAGGCCCTGAACCTGTGGGCAACACCAACACCGGCGCCGTAGTCAAAGCAGTCTTGAACTTCTGAAAGCTTGCCTCACACTTGTCTGACCATCTGAACGGGGCACCCTTCTGGGTCAACCTGGTCAACGGGGTTGCTATAGATGAAAACCCCTCCACAAACCGACGATAATAACTCGCCAATCCCAAGATTCACCTGAATACCCTCTACTGATATAACGTGCCCCAAGAAGGCAACTGAGCTCAACCAAAACTAGCATTTTGGAAACTTAGCATATAACTGGCTGTCTCTCAAAGTTTGAAGAACAATCCGAAGGTTCTGCTCATGCTCCTCTCGGCTGCGGGAGTAGATCAAAATATCATCAATAAACACAATCACAAAATAGTCTAAATAGGGCTTGAACACTCGGTTCATCAAATCCGTAAATGCTGCTGGGGCATTTGCCAGCCCAAATGACATTACTTGAAACACATAATGCCCATAACGAGTCCGAAAAGCTATCTTAGGGACATTGGATGCCCTAATCCTCAACCGATGATAGCCGTCTAAGTCAAGTTTTACCAGTTGCAGATGTCGCAAGCAAATGCGAGAAATCCATCGCATTTGTGAAGATTCTCACATTTCTGCTATCTTCGCAAATGCGAGAAAAGTTCGTAAATGCGAACTAAGCTGGCCGCAAATGCAACCCTACGATCACAAATCCGAAGACTGCCCCTCCTAGACCCATATCGCAAATGCGACGAATACTTCGCAAATGCGAACTTGTATGGCCCAGCTTCTCTTCACATTTGCAATGAGAAGCTCGCAAATGCGAACCCCTCAGAGGTCGCAATTGCGATGCCTGATCTCACAAATGCGAGATCAGAGGCCTGCAACAAGATCGGTTACACTAGAAATTTTTTTCAATATTCAAATCACTCTGTAGCCTACCCGAAGCTCACCCGAGTCCTCGGGGCTATAAACCCAACATGCACACAATTCTAAAATCATCATGCAAACTTAATCGCGCGATAAAATCGCCAAAATAACACCTAGAACTACGAATTTAGCACCAAAACAAATGAAATTTTCAAGAAAATTTTGAAACTTCTAATTTCTCAACTGGACGTCCGAATCACGTCAAACCAACTCTGTTTCTCACCAAATTTCACAAACAAGTTATAAATAGGGTAGTGGACCTATACCAGGTTCCAGAACCAAAATACAGACCCGATATCCAAAATGTCAAACCTTGGTCAAACACTTCCATTTCATTAAGCCTTCAACTTTCAAATTTTGACAATGTTCGATATCTCGGGCTAGGGACTTCCGATTTTGATTCCAGGCATACGCCCAAGTCCCAAATAACAATACAGACCCACAAGGACCGTCAAATTATGAATCCGGGTCCGCTTACCAAAAATGTTGACCGAAGTCAACTCAAACGAAGTTTTTAGGCAAAATTTCTTATTTTCATCAACTTTTAACATAAAAGCTTTCCAGAAATACGCCGGACTGTGCACGTAAATTGAGGAGGGTAAAAAATGAGATTTTTAAGGCTCAAAAGTGATAGAATTGAGTTCTAAAATACAAGATGATCTTTCGGGTCACACAATCATTTCCAGAAATGTGACATCTCGTGATTCTATCTCAGTAACACTTGCATCCTCTAATTCACCAATGAACACATACCCTTTGGAGTGTTCTGAATATTTTATAAAGATACATTTCTTGCCTTTTGGACCTAATTTAGCAAACTTCCTAAAAGAATATTTTACATATGCAACACAACCCCAAGGTCGTAAATCCTTTAAGTTTGGTTTATGACCAGTCCATAGCTCATAAGGAGTGGAAGATACTAATTTAGGAGGCACTTTGTTCAATATGTAGGTTGCAATCAATAACGCATCTCCCCAAAAGGAGATAGGTAAATTTGCATGCGCCATCATGGACCTTATCATGTCCAGTAGAGTTCTATTCCTCCTTTCTGCTACACCATTTTGTTGAGGTGTGTACGGAATAGTTAACTGTCTGGTGATGCCCTTTTTATTACACAATTCTTCAAATTCTTTTGATAGATATTCACGCGCTCTATCGGTTCTTAAGGTCTTAATCATTTTGTCTAATTGATTCTCAACTTCATTCAAATATTTCTTAAAGCATTCAAGTGCTTCAGAT